AAATCCGAGCAAATATTCTAGTAGAAAAGTTGCGAACACATTAAAAAAAAATAAACATCTTTGTAGAACTATAAGCTTTTTCGCTCCACTTGGAATCTAAAATAACCCATATCTCGTGTCGTTGTGTAGGAAAAATTGACCTACAATGTTTTCATTTACAAAGTACAAATAATAATATATACAAGGGAAAGTATTTTTATTCACTTTATGCACTCTGCAAGTGCTCTTAAAAACGACTCACAAACACTTTTAAACCCATCGTATTACAATAATAATAATTACGAATTGTCGTACTGCCAAAAGTATACGTTCCACTGTGTAACTCGACTTTTTTTTATTCAATGGCCATCTACTTAAATTGCGTCATTTAATATGTTATTGTATCTGTACTATTTGTATAAATTTGCTAATTCAAATTATTTATATTATATATTATAATATTTATACAGTGTGTTCACTACTATGTTAGCAGGTAACACTAAATATTTTAGACGGATGACCTAGGATTTAAATATCATTTTTGGGAGGTGATGGGAAAACTAAAATATAATTTAAATATATCATTTTAAGATAAATGTGTACATTTTCACCCTCTCAGTACGCGTACGTGCGCAATACTTTGAATAGTAGATTCAAGTAATCCTATTATTTTAAAATACAATTAATTAATAATTATATATTAATATAGATGAGTACAATATTTTTCATCTTAACAATTTCCCTGAGGTACAGCCATCTTTAGTTGGTTAAAAAATATAATTTTTTATAGATTTTTCAAAAATTTAAAACGCATGACTTTAAAACTAAAGAAACCTAACTACGGTTTTATGGTGTTAAAAATATGTGTGAAGATATTCATAAAATAACGCATACATAGTAACATATTGTTTAAATTTTTTTAAATCATATTTTTTTAAACAACTTTAGATGACTATCTGTAAAATTCATTAATTCTTTTACTAAATATCAACTAAAACAGCGCACACAGCGACAAAAAAAATCAGTCATATTATATTTAATAATAATTACTAGATTTTCAATGTTGGGCACTCTAAGAATATATATATATATTCTATATATATTATTTTTTAAAAGGAGTTATTATTGAGTTAACATTTAAACACTAGTTTCATTTCAACAGTAATAATATTATAGTTTCGCTAAATCGGTTATATATAAAAAAAAAAACAGTTTTTGGTTAAATTCTTTATGCGTAAAATAAATGATTACCAGTCGTTATTTGATGAACATTTATCATTCGTGAAACATCAAAATAATAATGAAACAAATGTTTGGACAAAAATTAAAAAATTGTTTAGAATTTTATAATCTGTGAGTTAACAAACTTAACAACAGAATTTTTTTTTTTTTGTTCAGCATTTTTCTCGCGCATAAAATATACGAGTCCAACAATTAAATACTTAAATTACATGCCAGGATTAAGATGGTCGGTATATAAGACATAGAAATAATAGTTTTCCGAGCCGAACGTTCTAAACTCTTAAGGCTCACGATTAGTATAATTTTAATATTTTGTTTCGTTATTTATTATTTTTAATACTGCTCATCCGTAATAGGTAAGTACTAAGTAGGTAATAAACAATAATAATTATTAATCATTCATTATACTATATTGTACTGCGAATATGTTTTGTTAATTTTTATATTCTTGGCAACCTTTCACATACGTTGTATTTTTATCCCTTTGGGTTCTTTTAAAAAAGTCACTAACTATATTATACAAATTGTATACGGTAATACTACAAGCGCGTGCACAAAGTGAGCCCAGACTCGACTGGACGGTTTTTAGGTGCTCTAAAGCTTTAATAATAAAATATTTTCTTGTCCCAAAGGGCATATCAACTGAAAACTCTCGACAGAAAAAAAAACTTCTATCCACGTACAACATAATATCGTGCTTTGAAACACTATATCAATAGAAAAAAAATATATTTTCCAACATATATATATAAAAATACACGCAAAAAATTTATTGAGTCTGTAGTATAGATAGTATAGATAATAATAGCGAAAAATCGAAGTAAAATAAAAAAATAAAAGTAATAAATTTTCTTATAAAATATTTATAACGGATTCGTGAAAAAAAATCAACGGAATTTCGAAGTTAATTATACAGCTAGTCCAGCCCTTATTTTTGAACTTTCAAATTTTTGACTACTCACCCTCCCATATTTTTCGATATGACAAAAAACTAATTTATGTTAAGTTTTGTGATTGTAACTTACCCCTTTTATATGTCGCAAGAAGGTTGACAATTTCCAAACAGGGTAGTTTTAAAGTTTTTTGTATTTAACAATAAAAAATATTACTTTTAAGATAAAAATATTTAATATCCTAACTATAGATCTGAATATTTTCTATGAAAAAAAAATTTTACAACATTTCTCCTGAATCCATTATTGTTTAAGACAAATAATAAAGTATTTATTTTTTGAAAAATTAAGTTTTTTGCTGTTCTTTAAATTATCTGCTAAATCAGCGATGTTATGGTAACATTAAATAAAATGGTAAAATTAAATTAAATTATACCAGATTATACAATATATTTTTAAAAATTGATAAAAATAATTACTAATAAATAAAAGTAAGTACTTAAAAACTACCCTGTTTAGCAATTTTCAGCCCTCTAGTAGCACGTGAAGGAGGTAAGTTACTAAATAAATTACTAAATAAGTCACCAAATTTAATACAAATTTGTGTTTTGTGATAACAAAAAATATGAATGGGTGAAAAATAAAGAAAAGTTAACTTTTTTTCTCCCTCTATTATTAAAGGCCGCTTTAAGCTACATACAATTATCGTAGAGTAATAATAGATAGGGTCGGATTTAAAACTAGGGGTACTACAATTTCATGGAACGCCATAGCCGGTAGTATTCTTATTATTATTATTATTATTCTGATTCTTAAAAATAAGGTTATCATTTACAACCGGTTTTTGTTGTTATTGAGTTTTTATTATTTTAAATCTTTTTTAAACAATCATTGTTGGCATTGAAACGCCCATTGTTGTAATAATTTTACCATAATATAACACCTATATTGTTGACAAAGCAACACTATCAAATGAACTCCACTCAGAATCGTCTTTTCGTTAACAATGGTTTATCGTTGCTTACAGATGTACATTAAATTCCCGTCTGTATCCTACCTTCCCTAATTCCAACCTACAAAAGTGGCAGTAGCCACGTGCGAAGTATATCCTTCTTTTTTTTTAGATTGACTTCAAAATACTTTTAAGCTAATCCATCATACATTTTCATGTAAACATATAAAATTGATATGGGAGTAATTGGTAATTGGGAGGAGAGGTTTTTTGTTCTAAGAAGTAGAGGCTTGTTTTTTGTTAGCCAGAGGGTACCTTTTAGATAAATCCGGCCCTGATAATTAGCATAGTCCGATTTACACATTTCAGATGTATTACATAAACATACTTACATACTTACATATTACATACATTACATACATACATATTACCTTTGAACTATGATTTATTCATAAACAATATCGTTTACGGAAATTTATACAGACTCGATTTAGCTCATATTATTATACCAGACACTATAAGACGTATATTGAGCGCTATCGGTTTCGGTTCGGTTATCAAGTCGTTAGTTATTATCATTTTGCTAGTTCTATATTAAAACAATATCCACACACAATATCTGATCGGGACGAATACAATTTTTATATGTGATTACATATAAAAAATTTCGTTAATTTATGTTAATATTATACTTTTGTCTGCTCTAGGAAACTTAAATCGTAAGTTTATATATACCTATAGAAAAGAAATGCAATTGGATCCAAAAATTATAGCTAGAATAGACTTATAAGTCCATTAAACTTAACCGTATACAAATTTGGGTTTTGTTACAAAAATATTGCTTTACATAATACTCGTATTATTGAGTAAATATCGAAGACATATCATAATATACAGATTACCGGATATTTAAAGCTAATATATTCATAAAAAAAATTAATTTTTCAAACTTAACAATACAATAAATACACAATATTATACCTATAAGATATTAGATAAAAATCAAATTTAAAAATATTAAAAATTGTATATACCGTACGGTATTTATAACCGGGTTTGATTTAAATCGTCGTCAGATAGTATAAAAAAGGCAAAAAAATAAAACGATGATAAATTATAAGAAGTATACATTAGCAATAAAATTTACATAGTTGTTAAAAGTAAGTACTTAAAAATGTATATTAATGTATAAATACAAATTCAAGTATTTCAAATGCAATTAAATTATAGAAACCCTTAAAATAATTTTAAAATTGTTAATTATTCGTAAAATTATTCATTTTTATTTTTGTAAATAATACTAAATGTAACTAATTAAATCGTACATGTATACTCAACATTTAATCAAATATATAGCATGTTACAAAACTATTATTTAATTTTCATTTTCTTACAAACGATATCCCCAAAAACTTATAATAATAATTACACTTTAACTTTTATGGATACAATCGTTATACACTCATGGAAATTGATACTTTATCAATTTTAAATTTTAAACATTATTTTTTTAATAAACCAAACTATTACATTGTTATACAACATACTGACGTAATATATATTTTGACCTATTTTACCTCCTTCCCTTTTAAACACAGGATGATCACTTTATCGTAAGACATTCATTACCTTGGAAAGTATTAATTTTCATCGGAATTTGTTGAATAGAATATTTAGGAAACAAACAGGTAAACAGGTCTACAATTTTACAATTACTTTTTTTTCTGTCACCCTTAATTTTGGCGGTAAACCATTATCTACTTTTAATTTTTAAATAGAAACCTTTACTAAAATTCCCATAAATAGATGGGACAACTAGTTAAAATAAAATGTTGAAATTTTTGATTTCTGTCAATTCGTTGACGATATATTCCACTTTTAACTTTAGGTCAGGGAAGAGTAGCAGTGGATTATTAAAACGCCACGCCACACAAATGATACTCCTAGCAGTCCTAGCTAAGTAATCTTTATCATAAAACTTAAAAAAAAAAATATATATAATAATTGTTTTTTATTTATTCTATAGTTTAAAAAAACTATAAAACAAATGCTTTAATACTTAATACTTTTCGGCATAAAAATATTTTTGTTTATTATATAAAACACACAATATGATATAAGTAATAATAGTTATGATGATGTGTACCTATACACTCTTAAAACATTAGTGTACCGTTCCATAAATCCATATCAAAACTTACTCATCTTTAACCAGTGGTGGTTTTAAGAGAGGGGGCTAATGTTCTCTTAGCCCCTCCCCCTCGGGACTAAGCTATCTATTTTTCTTAGACAAGTATTATGATATATCCATATGATATCCATATGATAGAGATTTGTTAACCACGGCTAGTTCAAAAACATCTGTTATATGTTATATTAATGAAGGAAAATTTAGATAACTTTTAAGATTTCGAATAAAATCTGGCAATAAGATATTAGAAAATCATCTTAAAACATCTCATGCTAAAGCTACCTATATAAGTAATATAATACAAGAAGAAATAATAGAATGCTGCAATGAAGAAATTATTGATAAAATATTAATAGATATTAATTTTAATAAGTTTTATAGTATTATATTTAATGAAACTACAGATGTATCACATTCATCTTAAATGTCACTAATTTTAAGATATATTTTTGATAGAAAAATAAAAAAAGATTTTGTTTCATTCATAAACTTTAACACATACTTTTATAATAGGCAAAAGTCAAACCAAGAGGAACAGATTAATTACAGTGAAGAATGTATAGAAAATGAAGAAAACACCATTATTGAATCAAAACTCTCAGGTGATATTCTTGGAAAAATAGTAATTAATATTCTAAAACATTTAAATTTAAACTTGAAACACTATGTTGGAATTGCTACTGATGGTTGCTCGGTTATGACATCCACAGTTCGTAGTGCTGTTAAATATATTCAATCAAATGTAACTCCAAACGCAGTTTATAGCCTATGTTCTAATCATTGTTTAAATTTATTGATTTCTAAATCATCTAATGTCATAGCACTTAAAAACACTGTTGATATAATTAAGGAAACTATAAAAAAATTTTAATATGTCAGCCAAAAGAAATCATGTCCTAAGAATAGTATTTGGTAAAGAAAAACATTTAATGAGTCTATGTGAAACAAGATGGATTGAAAAACACAATAGTGTTTTAATATTTAGGAATTCTTTATAATATATCATTAAATCTATGAACCTTATAACAGAATGGTAAGATAACGATTCATCAGTGAAAGCTTATTCTCTTTTAAATTCATTCTTTTTCATTAACCACATGTCAATTTAAAATATCACTATTTATACCATCAGATTTACTCTACTTAACATCACCTGCAAGTAAATTAATTTAAGGTGTTCAAAATGACCTACATTTTGCTGAAGACTGCTTTAAGGATATTATAAACGTTAGGAAAATAGACGGTCTAACAGTGATATAAATTTCAAAACAATATTTAAAGAAAATATTTATGAAAAATTTAGATGTAGAACTAAAATTACCTGGTGTTGCTAAGCATCAAATACATAGACCAAATATAAATACTTTATCTGTAAAAGAATAATTCAGAATTTCTATTTATAATTCACTGTATGATCATATACTTAATGATCTAAAAGATAGATTTTTAAGTAAAAAAAATGTAACTGTTTATAAATTATTACTTCTTATACCAAGCTGTGTTATTGATATCAAGTTGCAAGAAATAAATAATATTACAGAAATTGTTGATAAAGAATACTCATTTATTCTCATAGAAAAACAATGGTTTTCATCTGAACTTAAATTATGGATTGCAAAATGGATCAGAGTTAAAAATGAAGGTAAATATAAAATCTATTATTTATTTTTTTAGTATTAATTATCTTATAATAAATTAATATCTTAATTTCAAGGTTATCTACCAACTACAGTAATAGATGGTTTAGATCATTGTCAGGATATACTATTTCCAAGTATTAAAGTATTGCTTTTAATTATTGGCTATCTGCCCATCAGTGTTTCATCAGTTGAAAGAAGTTTGTCTACTTTGCGCAGGTCAATACATTAAAAAAAAAGGTCTACATTAAAAATTATAATATCAAATTAATAACCAAATAATCTTATTTTTCTACTAAAATGTTTTAAATCTAGGTTAACAGATTGGTTAAGATCCCAAATGAGCCAAGATAGATTTAATGGTCTAACTTTACTTCATGTCCATAAGGAAAAATAAGTGTCAACAGATAACATCATTGAACGATTTTCCAAAGTTAAAAATAGAAACTTGGAATTAATAATGTAATATAAATATTTTTATTTTTTCAAAATAAACAGCTGGCAGCTAATTTTTGTTATTTCTTTTATGTGTTTATATTTAAAGATGGTTAAATAGTTTCAGATTAAAATTGATAGCAGTATAAATATTTAAACAAATAATAATAATAAAAAAAAAAATGATTTACATATGTGAATTCAAATTGTATATAGATTTAAAATACAGCTAGGTAAATTAATGAACCACAATTAACTCCCCCCCCTTTGGTGAGAGATAAAATCTGTCCCTGTCTTAAACTGTAGTTAATGGACTATGAAAAAACATTATTCAACTTATAATGTATCGACTTTTATTTATTTATATGAACACTATTATACGGGTATGGTATAAATATTTCGAATTTATCTGTGTATGATAAGCCGATAAGCTACAGCTAGGTTGGCCGCCAAATGGTAGATCGCGGTAGATTTGAATGTCCTTTGTTAGAATCTATTTGTATACAATTAGTAGATAAATCACAATTGTTAACAATTATCATTATCTTAATACTTCCTTTGTTGTTAGTGATAAAAAAATATTTAAATTACTTCTGAGTTTTATAATATTCCTTATTCATTTCAGTCTAATATTAGAATTGACAACACAGTTGTTCCTGCTGAACGCAAATTTGCTATACCGTACGTTTGTAAGACGGAGACAAACTATGCAGATATCGTGTTCTCTTAATTCACAAACAAATTTTAATAATGAGACATAAATATAATTAATTGATAACTAGACAATGAAAATCAATAAACGTACACGTGCTATGCAAACATGTTAAATTTAAAATATTTTATCTAAAATATCAAACTCAAATACATATATTATACAAATTGAGGATAACTAAATGATTATTAGGACCAATCTGATATAGAAACTATTATATATGGTTCGTAAAGTCCATCTATCAGTTCTTCACTACGTTCTTTTCTACTTTTCTCTGTATCTTTCATGCATTCCTAAACGATTACGCTAACTGTATAATACACACGGAAAGGTTCTCTCTACGGGGATGTACTCGTATTATAGTGATGATAACTTTTGTTTTTATTACTATTCCCTTTGGAATTTATAAATAGTTTATTGTGTTTATGTTTACCGAACCTAAAACGAAATATTTTGTTCGCGTACAGGCTGTCCCACGAAGATATACCCCTTGAATATCTCCGGAGATAATAAATATAATCAAATTCTGTTTTTTTTTTTATATATTACTCACAAGGATGAGGAATTTATATTTGATTATCTTTATTATCTCCGGAGATATTCAAAGGTTATATCTTCGTGGGACGGCCTGTATATGTGTACACAGTTCTTTTTATTTATTTCTCACAAAAACCATTTGAAAATTATTAAATTGATGTATATCCGTCTAACTTACTGTTACTCAAACCAACCAAATGAAAAATATAGATAATATCTATAAATTATGTGATATCCCTGGACCTTCGAAAATAAATCGTGCTAAAAGAAATTTTAAAGAATACTTTTATAAAATAATTATAATTAATATATATTATATGAATTATAATTTTACATTAATATTGTATTATATTCGTAATACATTACGAATATAATAAAGAATAGTAAACATTAAAATTTATAAGCCCCCAGTTTTTAAATCGTTTTTTTTTTTTTTTAATAAAACAGTAAATTTCACAGGAATTTTAACGAGGCACATTTTGTAGGAAATTATTTTGATAATGATAAAGTTCCTAATAAATTGTTTGTATATTAAAAATTTTAAAAAATGTATATAAAAAACCAAAAAACAACCAAATTTTTAAAAACTTAAACCACTTTGAGGCACTTGAAGGGGGTGACGTATCATACTCAAAATCAACCTAAATTATTTGTACAATGTACTTAATAAAATTCCAAGCCTGTGACACAAAATTATTGAAGTTCAAAAATAAGAACTACTTTAAAAGATATAATAATTTAATAGGAGAATGGACAGACAAATATACCAAGAATAGTTGTACCACTATGAAAAAAAAAAAAATAAATACTATTTCTGATGACTGTTTTTTAATAGTTAAACACATTCAAAAGTAACTTACATCCAATTTAGTTTAGATGAAATAACAATGAAATATATTTTTTCTGAGGCTGAAAAGATTTTTAAAATATTAAATTCTTGCATACTTATTGTATATGAAACATATTTGTAAATACGTTTCCTGAACAATAGTATTTTTAAAGATAATGTGGAATAGTATTCAGAACCTTTCTAAGCACATTTTTAATTTTAGAGTTTTACATTATTTTTTTTTTGTTTAATTCAGGTTATAACTATCAGCACTAATTGTTTTCTTTTTCACAGTTCCTAATTTGTATATAACAGTCGCCATTATAATTTGTTAGTCGGTTAGTAGTCGGTAATCGAATTACTTACTAAAACTTGAACGAATTAGTCTGAACTGAGAGGTTTCCATCTCTCATTTCTCCCACGTCACAGGTAACAATACAGTCTCGGACGTGTCTAACAGGAACAATTAAATCACGTAATGGAATAAATTCAAAACAAAAATCTACCGGCTACCTCTATACCTGCTGTATAGAACTATGTTGCACGTATTCTATTATGTTACAAAATTTGAAAAAAATATTTATCTACTCTTTTTTTTTTTTTGTTGTTGCGAGATATTTTAGGGCGCGTTCTAATCGAATTCCTTTATTACCATTTTCCTCGCACATCTCCCCTCGGCTTTCGTGTTATATTTTTTCCCTGAATTTGTTATCCATTTCGGACTATATATACTATATAGCTATTCGATGATAATGTCCATACAGGGTGTAACAGGACTATTTAACATTTGTATATTAGAGTTACATGTAGAATGTCCTGAATAGTCCTGATACACTCTGTATATATGAATTATTTATATGAGAGAATTTATTGTATGTACTCGTATATAAATTATATTATATATATATATATATATATATATATATGACTTCAAGGATACATTTAACATGTAACACTTATTTTATTACCGAACTTTTTTTTCAAATATTGTATTGTAAAACCTTTATAACCATTACCCATAATTTGAAGTGTGTTTAATAAAATAATTGTTTTCTTTTTGTACAAATTTTTATTACTACTAATTTTAATATTGGTGGTTTTTCGGATTGAATACATTTTTTTTTTAACATGGTAACCGAAACTTCTAACTACCTATTCATATTATCCAACATAAATCTGTTTATATTCAACACTAAACCAATAATATAACCAATTAATATTTACTTATGTAAGCCTTTTTGAACACAAGTTGTGGGAAGAATCTTATAATAATAATTTTACACACAGTGATATTTTTCTGCATAATTACTTATCATACAAACTTTAAATAGTTCTAAATAAGTAATAAACTATATTAATTAAATATTTGATATGATAATAATATATTACCTATAAATATTTATGTAACAAAGTTTACTTTAAAATATCCTGTTTCAAAGTATGTTGCATATTGAACATGTGTACGTGTCAGTACAAAATACTTGACGAGACAACGAGAAACGTATATAAAAATATAATTTTTTTTTCTAGATAATTTAAATATTTGAAAATCATACATAAGAAAATGGTAAATATTTAGGTTCAAATTACTAGCTACAGCTTTCATCTTAGAACTAATTAATAATTAAATTTATTAATCTACTTACTCCACCAGAAGTGACGAAATTTGTACTTGATGCCAATCTGAAACAAAGTATGACAATAATAATAGCTAAATAAAGTTTTCTTAATAATTATAATTTCTTACACCAAGTATTTTTATATATATATACAAAAGAATAGATAGTTTTTCAAAATACCTACATGGATTTGAAATACAATAAATTATTGTATTTTGTACTTAGAACAATTTTTTAAAAGTATTTTTTTTTCTTGCAATATTTAGATAAAATTTGTTTTATTTCATTCGTGCATAATATCAATACACAGTTACCTACTTATTTTAAGTGTTAATATAATAACAATTACAATTTATACAATTAAATACTATAAACATATTTCACTATTAAAATGTTACGAAAAAAAAACGTTTTTGACTTTTCGCTAAATAATGTGTTTGCCAGACAATACAAAAATCACACGAAAGCACATTTATACTGGATGTTCCACAAAGATTTACTATGGCTAAATTAATGTAAACACCGTTTCCACTTAAGGATAGTATAAATCTCCGTGAAACACGATATAGGTACACGTAATTTTTTTAAGTACCTACAGAGTGATTCCTTTATCATGAACCATCAATTATATACAAAAAAAATTATATGAGTGAATTTAATATTCATATTTTTCAATCATAATCGAAAAACAGATACGATTTTACTGAAATTCTCTTATTTACACTATTTTCATAATATCACTCCCTTTAATAATATTATTATTATTACTGCCTTTTGAATTTAAATTGTAATAACTAATAAATAAATTAACGCGGCCAGCTGGACTCGAATAAGGTAATATTATTATATTAAGTACTCGAAGCCGGATAGGTAGGTTTTTTATTATTGGGAAATAATTAAAAAGGCCGCTAAAAAGTGTGTGAACAATAATTTCAGTAAAATACTCAAAAGCTCAATTCATTCATTGTTTAAATATTTTAGTTTTATTCATAGTTTAAATTTGGTATTTTCACACTCTTGTGAAATTTCGATGATACGCAATTGTATTGGTACCATTAAAACTGTAATCAACTTTTTTAGACAATCCCCGTTGCGTAATAAACTACTTAAAGATACTGCGGAGTTCGTTGAAACTGATCACTCTAATCTTATAATACTTTGTGAAACCAGTTAGACCGAAAAACATTTGGCAGTAAAAAAATTTGCCAAAATGTTTTCGGTCATTACAGAATCACTGCAAGATAACATAATAGAATATACGTCAC